TGGACAGGGAGATTCCAAAGGTCAGTGACTTTTCCTGGAAGACAAACTCAAGTCCTGAGCTGGTGTCCTGCTTGCCAGCCCTCCATCCTTCCAACCTCTTCTCCCTCTTCCTCTGTATCTCATGTGACCAGACAGACAAAACTCTTCCTCTCTCTCTCTCTCTCTCTCTCTCTCTCTCTGAGGTTTGATACAGACACAGAAATCAATGTTGGATCGGAGCAAAAGGAAAATACTAACTTGTGTGAAATTTTCAACTTTTTCACTAAATGAATCAAAGCCAAATTTTCACACTTTGGTCTTAGGTGTGAATTTTTGCTCAGCTCTAATATTTATCCATAATGTGTTTTAAAACTTGGCTTGCTCCATCTAGAAACCCACAGAGAATTGAGTTACAGATTCTGGGCTTTGTGCATGCTGCCAAGATCTGCCCCTATAACTCAAACAAACCGACACCCCCCAAACAAAAACAAAAAGATGGGGGGGGGGGGGGGGGGGGCGGGAGGGGAAACCACTAGAAAAATATTGTATATGGTCCATCACATGCTTTCTTCATGCAGTCATATCCCACTAAAAAGTAATGTTCTGCTGAAACACATTCATGTAACTCCTGTAAACACAGATAAGATGAATTTTGCATCTCCAAAGCAATCCCTAAATAAAAGCCTAGGAGGAAATAGCAGCATTGCTTAAAATTCTTATAGAAGTTTAAAAGTATTTCTTCAACATCAGCATTTCAAGAAATCTATTTATGCCCCTCAAATCCAAATATATCTGTCACTGAACTTCTTAAAATTATGCTAAAGACATCTGTTAGCTGAGTTTGTGTGTGTGGAATAGAGATGAGTGAGAGAAAGGTTCTTTACTGCTGCAGAACAATTTTAATTATTACATAGAACATTATTTATTTGTTGTGAGGACTAGGAGGGTAAGGAAACTCTGATAGTTTGAAGGTTAACACCTGCTGAATCCTGAAATCAGGACAGATCTGGTGGGAAGAATGTTCCTACATTTCAGCCTGTTGTGAATGGGGCAACTTTTAAATTATTTTCTTCTTGCTGCTGGATCTGTGACAGGAAAACTAAACAGAAACACTGGAGAGGTGAGACTGGCTTGAATGTGAGCATCAGATCCCCCAGTTTGGTGCTTTGTGCAGCCACGTGCTTTCAGCCACTGAAATGGTACAGGAGAACTTGAAATGATCTGTGGTTGTTTTGTTGTTAATAATTACCTTAGGTGAAAGTCCAAGCATTTCTTGAGATTACCAAAATGACTGAGTGGTGACAACACAGCTGGGAAGTTGCATTTGTGCTTGGATGCCTTACTATTTAACTTTGGATACAATTTTTAAAGTCTCAAAATAAAGAAAAAGCCCAGTTGGGATTTTGTGACTTTCTAAACTAAGGTTGGTGTCCCTAAATCTGATTTCTCATCTGCTGTGTACTTTAAGGCTCACATCCCATTAACTTTCAGTAATACTCAATCTCATCAGTCCTTGAGTCACAGCTGAAAATCAGACTTGGGGACTATTCTAAGTTGGGCTTGATGATCTCCAAGGTCTCTTCCAGCCTAGTTGGTTCTGTGATTCTGTGATTCTATCCACAAGTGGGCTTCACTGGCCTCCCTGTGCAGTCCCAGGGGATGTGGGCTCCTCCTGTGGGATGTGCAGGGTTTTGTGAGGCAGCTCTTGGAGGACCCCAAGGGCAGGGAATCAGAGAAGATGGGTCTCCCAGCCTGAAGCTATTCCCTGTGTGCACCTCCTGTGGCTCCTGTGCCAGGCTGATGGGCTTCTCCTGCTGCCTCCTCCCACACAAAGTTAAAAACCTTTTCCTTCCCATTATTAAAGGGACAATGATTGAAATTTCCAGCTTTAAGATGCTGTGTCAAAGTTGGGCTTCCCTAGGAGACAGGATTTTCCCTGGGTTTCCAGTAGGGTTTCCCTTGGAGATCCACTGCCTGTTGGGGCTGCCCTGGATTCTTCAGCTGGGCAAGTGTTGGATTCCCAGCCCCAGATGATGCTGGAGAGTGGAATTCAGCCACCAGGACCGAGTGGATTTGAGTGGCTACTGACCTTCCCAGCAGCAAAATGGCACCTTGTCCTGAGATCTTGGTGGGCCTTGGGGAGTTTGGTTCCCTGTCCCTTCCCAGGCAGGGATAACCCCGCTGGGCTGGGTCTCTCCATGGAGAGCAGAGTGTTTACTGGCTTGTATCTGTCTCAGTGTTGACACTCCAACAAAAGGTTAGAAATCATGAATGCATCCCTTTATTTCTGCTCCACAGTGCCTCTCTTTTTTTCTGTGTAAACCCTTCACTTGCCTCTTGCCCAGCCTTTAGAAACGATGATCAAATGCGAACTTTCAGGGTTTATTTATAGCGTAGCCTTTATGGAAAGAGAGAAAAGAAATGATTAAAAAGCAATTTTACAAAATATTTTGTTTTAAGAGAGAATTCATTGTGTTTTAAATCACTGTATTCATTGTGCTGTCTAGACTGGCAAACAAAGAAGATAGAGCGTCATTCAAATTAAGATTGTGAAATCCTTGGTGACTGGAATTATGGATTTGGATGTCAACCCTCAAACAAACTATTTCTGAACGGCAGTATTATCACTTTGCTATATTTAAGGCTTTGTTGGAGACAGAGCAGTGCACAAGGTTGATCCGATTCAGTAATGCAATTCTAATGTTCCTTTGTCTCCCGTTTCATTATAAATTCATATTTTCAATGTTCTGTTCCTCTTTGTCCCCAGAAAATTGTTGAAAGGACTCTCCTCTGGGAGTAAAGTTTTTTGTTCAAGCTAACAATGACCAAACTGACTTTACAACACAGAAAAACACACAACTAAAATGTGAATTGAGAGAGGGAATTAATTTAGGATATTTTGAGCAACTCAGAATGGGTGAGTTGTTGAAAATTGCTGGCTGTGTATTTTTTTGCCATGCTATTCCACGGAACCATGGTAGTTGCTGTGAGACTTTAATGCTGTGGATTCTCAAAAGTCTGTGTATTTTCAGTAGATTTAAAAACACCAAAGTATTATAGCTGATAAACTGATAAACTTGGAAGTCTTCCTCCTTTGCTCAGGGTGGATGATGGGGGTCCAGCAGAAGAAAAGCAGCATTTTCTGGAAGCTGGAAGAGTAAAGCAGAACATGAGGGTGTGGAGCACCCATGTCAGAGGCACAGCATAGCCTGGGAATGGAGCTGTGTCCTGGTCCCGAGTGTGCACAGACAGGGGAATGCAAAGTCAGGCCCTCCTTTTCCTTTTTGTTGCACCTGTGATAAAAAAATGTATTTGCCTGTTGAGACACTTCAGATGTTATGGGTTTATTTTCGTGCAGTGTCTCCAGGGCAGTTCAAAAGGAGGTGTAAAGCAGGGAGCAGAAAGGAAGGTGACACTTCCATTTGTGAGAGTGTTTCAGGAGGCTTTGTTTTCCCTAAGGCACAATGGAAAAGCAGTAGCCATTGTACCAGAGGGAATTGGCTTTTACTTTGAGTTGCTTTTTTTTTTTTCCCTGTGTGTTCATTCATTTTTTGGATAGTCTGTAAATCCAGATGGCTGTGTAAGGGACTGACTATTGTAAACAGGGACAATGCTTGAGCATTGTCAGTGTCACCTGTTAAAGGCCAGGGAATAAAATGCCCATTTCTCTTACTGGGAAGGATATCAGCCTTTCCATGGCAGTATTTTAATCTGGCTGCTGTGCAGAGTCTCAGTGCCAGCAGGCTCACATGTCCCAGGGAAAAGAACACACTATCTCTCTGCAAGTTATTTCAAGGGTGTTTCTTGGGGAATCAAAGTACAATCAACGTATGAAGGAGAATGGGCATATGAGAGCACAGAAATATTCCCTGCTGCTGTATCAGCACCCTCAGCAGAGTGGAGTCCTGAGTGCACACCTGGCAATGCTTCTGCCTTTGGCAGAGCCTGCCCTGGGCCAGTGACACTGCACTGACATTGCTCATCTGAAGTTCTGTGAGATCCTCTGCTGTCAAGTGCTGGATTAGTGGAAAGCACAGATTTCACTAGGGCAGGTATTCCAGCCTGTAAAATCATCCAAACCTTTTAAAAATCCAGCTGTAGCAGCTGGCTGGAAGGTTCCAGCAGCAGCACAGGGTTCTGCAGGGTCGTCCTCATTCTTAGGCACTGCATTAAAACAGGTTCAGGGTCCTGCTTAGAAACTCTGAACCCTGATTTAGTCACACACTGACTCTTGAGTTCTGACCGTTAATGTTTTTAGCATTCTTCCATCTAAAAGCTGTTGCTTCGATTGTCCTTGTGAAATCACTGAGTGTCTGCTGCCTCCACTGTATCCTCAGAGCTCAGGCCTCTTAACTTTGGCAATTCTCATTCCAGTGGGATTGCTTGGGAGAATCCACGGAAAATCAGAATCTCACAGAGATCAGAAAAGGGAAGCAGATTACTCATCCCTCTCCCTTCCACACATGGCTGTCCCAGAGACTCCTTTTGCAGGGGATTCTGTGAGCTCTGACTTTATTTTGGCCAAAAGCAGAGCAGGATCAGAGCTTGCCTCTTGCGCCTTTGTGCTGGAACGTGAGGGCAGCTGTGAGCTGCAGAACAGACATTCCCAGGTTACCTTCAGCTTGTGGAGCACCCTCGAGTCCTCCTCGCTGCAGGGAACTGATACTTTCAGAATATGATTACAAGATCTCAAGTACAGTATCATTTTATTTGGGAACCTTCCCCTCCAGGGATGCAGTGTTTAACATTTCCTTTGGTTAGAGTAAATAATAAAAGATAACTCTGTTCTGCCTGGGACTCCCAGTGAGAGAGAGGAACAGACTTTGGTTACTGAGGGTCTGCAGAGCTTTGTTCTCTTGACTACTTTATAATGGGATTGAACATATTTGCTGCCATCTGGCCTGTTCAGCCGAAACAAAATACATCACTAATGTTCCGATTGGTTTTGAAACATCTTGTTCTTGTCAAAAAGTATTTTAAATCAAAACAGGCTTTTCCAGTTGGTGTTTGTCTTTTCCTAGGAGGCCATGGCGAAAATGGGGAAAATTGGAAAAGTTGTGCAGCCCAACCACGAGCATAAAAGGTAACGCTGGCCCTGGTGTGTTCCCCTGGGAGAGTTCGAGGGAGATAAAGTTGGGGTCTGGAGGTGAGGTTGGGTGTGTCTCTTTACAGCCCTGCTCAAGTGCAGTAATGTTTAGCAGACAGATACTTTAAAAATCACAGTATATTATACTTTTAAGAATCGTTCATGCTGTATTTCTAAGGATTATTTATATTCATTTTAAAGCTTGATTATTTCTATTTTAAGGATTGGTAATATGATATTTTAAAGGATGATTTCTGTGAATTTCTGAGGATTATTTTCTATTACGTTGTATTTTAAGGGTAATTTGCGTTACACTTTCACGGGCTCCGGATTCCACGGGCGGCGGCGCGCGGGCTCCCTCTGGCGGCGGGCCCGGGCTGAGGGACTCGGGGGGACGCGGGGCCTGTGCCCGCCTCTGGGCCCCGCAGCACGGCGCTCACTCTGAGGGGCCGGAGCGGGTCCAGGGAAGGGCTGGAGCACCAGGAGCGGCTGAGGGAGCTGGGAAGGGGCTCAGCCTGGAGAAAAGGGGGCTCAGGGGGGATCTTGTGGCTCTGCACAACTCCTGACAGCAGGGGACAGCCGGAGGTGTTGGGCTCTGCTCCCAAATAACAAGAGACAGGACAAGAGGAAACGGCCTCAAGCTGTGCCAAGAAAAGTTTAGACTGGATATTTGGGGAAATTTCTTCATGGAAAGGGTTGTCCAGACCTGGCACAGCTGCCCAGGGCAGTCCCCATCGCTGAAGGGATTTAAAATCCCTGTGGATGTGGCACTTGGGGACACGGGGCAGTGGCGGCCTTGGCAGTGCTGGGGGAATGGTTGGACTCGGTGATTTTGAAGGATTTTTGCCACCTGAATGAATTCTGTGAAGCTCCGGTGTCTCCTCACTCTCATGACAGAGAACTCTGGGGAAAACTGTCTGAGAAGCCAAGCTGGCTGCAGGGAAATGAAAGGTGGAATTGCAGCTGGAAATCACAGCTTGGGTGGAAACTCAGCAGTGCCCAGGGAGGGCTCTGACCCCAGCAGCAGCTGCACCTAGCAAAGAGTCAAAGCGTCTTTAATGCTAAGAGAAGCAAGTAAACATGTAAATTGCAGGGGATTTAAATCTTCAAATCTCAGGCTTTGCTGACATTAACTTTCTTATATAGATTTTATGACAAGAAATATGAAGTATTTTTGAAGCTTGTGGAGCACCAGAGAGAGTATCGCTCCATCATGAACAACTTGTGATCCAGAGGCATGGGAGCTGGGAACAGCAAGCAAATTTCCAGGCATGTGTGATGCGGGTAATTTCTTCTTACTGTACTGTCCATATTGAAAATGTCCTGTTATCATTTAAAGTATACGTTTTAATTTTTAATGAGAAATAAAATGCAGTCACTTTAATGTGAAGCACTGGGTATTTTCTGTCAATAATCCTTGCACACAGAGACAAGGAATATTCATTTGCTCCAGTTCAAGAACACAAGACAACCAGTTGCAGATACCCCAGTGCCAGTATTTGGACTGGCAGGAACAGCACAAGGAATAACATGATTCACTCAGATGGACTTGAGTCCCTGGAGTCAATATTCACATAGATGGACTTTACACACTTAGCTTGAGAGAAATTCCTTCTTTAGTATTGGCCTAGGCTGTAATTCCCAGCTAAATGCAAACAGGAATCACACAATAACAAAACTACACTTGGGTTATTTGGAAAATAATAGTTTCTAGCTTTTTTTTTTCTTTTTCTAAATGTTAGTGAAGTCAGCCCTGAAAAACATCTGGTATTTTTTTTTAAAGAAACAATGCACTTCCTGCCTTGTAGTTCATGGAAAAGCAGTTGTTACCCTTTCCAAAGTACCCATTGTTAGGAGAAACAGCTTTACAAGTTCAGGGACATAATTAAAGACAATGAAAGTTGATGGGAATAAAATGAAGAAACATCATGACAAAAAGAGTAAAACAAGCAAGAAAATGATTCTGACATAGTGGGGTGTCAGAGCTCCCAACTCAGGGGCATGATAAAATCTGTCAGCTGAAAAGACAAGAGTGGGAAAAAGCAATTGGAGACCAGGGCGTTGTAACCAGTAAGTATTCATACATCTTAATATCTCTATTTTAATATGCAATTATTGTGTAAAAATGAAGTCCACAGACTCCAAATGGATAGCAAAGGTACAGGTCACACAGGGACAGATGTGCAGGGTTGGCTGGCACTGCACCAGCACTTTTACCTTTTTGCAGCTCAACACAAACAACTTCAGCAAAGTTTCCATAAACGTCCTGCTATTTATATCATTATCCTCAAACTGGCCTCGATTTCTCTGGCTGAACTGGTAGCAAGACTTAGCACGAGGGGTAATATCATTATCCTCAAACTGGCCTCGATTTCTCTGGCTGATTTCTCTGATTTCTCTAAGTAGCAAGACTTAGCACGAGGGGTGTAGGGAGTCTGGAAAGGGAACAAACAATCACACTGCCTTGGTGTAAAATGTAGATGCACAGGGTTCAAGGACTCTCTGTGCCTTGTGTGGGCTTGCACGACACAGTTACAGAGATCTGTTCACATTTCCTGCATGGCCTTTAATGCCTTCCTCCCCTTGTGATACTTGTACTTTATAGTTGCATTTTTGTTCCAGGCCAGCGTGCCTACCAAGTTTCGTATGATCCATTTTAAAACCAGAGCTGTGAGAACTCTGTATCCCAGTGGCTGAGAAATCAGCTGTGATAACACAAACACTGCTGCAGGACTTTGCAGAGAGACTGCCTGGCCATCCTTGTGTTATACAAGGCTTAGCAAATTGTTCCGTTTGCCAAGTTCTCAAATTAAAATTTAATTCAAATTGAGCCAAGATGTAAAATATTAAAGCTCAAGAGTTCTAACACTCTTCAGCTGCAGGTCGATGGGCACTGTAATGTTAAACTCTGATTGTGGCTTGAGGCATTCTTGTGAAACTGCCCTCTGAGGGCTCCACATGGAGTGCCTTGGCCATGCCAAGCACTGCTGAGTCCTTCAGCCTGTGGTAGCAGCACAGTGACAAACCCATCCCACTGCCCCAGTCCAAGAGAAGCCCCAGTCATGGCTTGAGGAAGTTTGGCCAAGGGCCCCAGCTGGGGTCAGTCAGGCCCCTGAGCTGCAGACCCTGCCATCCTCACCCCTTCAGGTGCAATTTGCTGACAGATTTTTATCATGCAAATTAAAAGAAGGGAAGCAACCACCGTGTCATCAGCTGCTCCAAGAGTCCTGCAGAGAGGCCCAGGCTTCACTCACATGGAGAAGACAAGAATATGATGGTTCCAAAGAAGCAAAGAGCAACTCTTAGGAAAAAGCTCCATGAGACCCACCCAGATGAAGAATCCTCACAAGGCAAGAGTCAGGAATGACAGCCTGTCATAGAGGTAACCTGCAAACTGAATGTTCACACGAGATTGGTTGTTTTGTATTCTGATGCATTTCAATTCCATGTGTCTCTTAAGCTCTTTAAAATCTCTTGAATGTAAAACCTTTCTGTGCTGTCCAAATGCCCCTACACTGTTCAGTCATGGTACAGTAGCCAGAGGAATCCTTCTAAAAGGGATCCCTGCTGCCTCTTGGAAAATAAAGTATTCAGCTTGACACAGAATCCTTCTAGGAAGTGGGATTCCAGCATTAAGAAAGGACAGAACCAGTGTGAACTGTTTGGATTTGACAATACCTGGGGGAAAATCCAGCTGCTTTCTACACTGGAAACTGGAAATTTTAGAGGCAAGTTAAAATCCTGCAGTTCAAATCTGAGTGATATTTGAAAGGTCCAGCCTGACCTTTCTAGGTCTGCTTTTTAATTAACCAGGCTTTTCATGGCACACTGTGTTCTCCCTGCCAGGGCAACTGCAGGACTTCTCCAGGTAAGAATTCCAGAAGCACCTACACTAGAAGGTTCTGGATGCAGCAGGATGGTAAAACTTCCACCACAGTGTTGCCAGTACCTGTATCAGAAGGTAATCACACAATGGTACAGACTGGTTTTCCTTCCTGGGTCTCTTTCAATCCATTTGTTATGTGCTGCTCACTCAGTAAATGCTGATTTATAAACACTTAGGGGTCGAGGTTGTTTCCTTGCTTATTGCGTTGCTTCTCACAGGAGGTGTGAAAAGCAACACAGTTCCACAATAAAGAACATTTTCCTTTTTTCCCCTGTATCCAGCCTCCCAGTACAACAAGCAACCTCTGACTGGGGCCTGGTGAGATTAGGAACTTCCATGCTGCTTTTTGTGGAATGTCATCCCAGAGATTCAATAAACTACAGAAAACAAAAATGCTAGAGGCCTGTTTGATATTTCACAGAGTTGTTTGATCTGACATGTGTCAAATGATAAATGCAAATGGCTGCAGCATCATTCAAGCCCAAGTGGGTTTTGAAATGCTGTGGGAAAATTAGAGGATAAATAAATCTGATCCCAAGAGCTCAAGCTTGTTGTTTGGCATGTGTCAAAATGCAGACAGAGGTAAATATTACCTTTGTCTGCAGGGAGGGCAGGTTAGTGCTGCTAACCAGGGACTGTGCCTCCAGTAGGGGGTCAGGCAGCAACATACCAAATTAAAAAATGAAGATATGCTAAACATATTGGAGGTTATTTAATGTTTACAGGGAAGTTATCAGGATTAATAAGCCCTCTTTCTACAATGGACTGTGAAAATGAAGGTGATTCTTTATTTTTAATATATGGTTTTCCTCTGCAAAGTGACTGCAAAAATTGAGCCTTTGCTCTTCTATACTGGTATGTGCAGGGGTTCACAGATCAGCTAGGGTAAGGTTTCCTTTCTACAGCTTCTTTCCCTGTGGATCTTACTCTGGAAGCTCCCTGGGTCATGGTTGAAGCCCTCAGGAATATGGGTGCCCGTGGACAGAAGCATTGCAGCTGCATCAAGGTGGAGTAGTCCTGAGTGACTTCCAGGGCCAGTTATCTCACATAAACCAGCAGGCACAACCAAGGAGCAGCTTGTACCTCTGGAAAAGCCAATTGCCACATCCTTTTTTAGCCAGACTGCTCCTGATTTCCAAGTACGACATAGAGAGGTCTCAGGAGCAAAAGAGGGCAGAGTGTGAGGACAGCTGCACATGCAGTGACAGCAATGAGTTTGTGCTGGTCAGAAAACAGGAAAATTGAATGTCAGGGCTGGCACCACCAACAAACCCAGCAAAGCACAAACAACATCTCAGCAGAAGCAGCACAGCTTGACTGGCAGCTCCGGGGCACAGCGAGCAGTGTGACAGGTCAGGGAAATAAAACTTCTCAGCATTTCAACTGATGCAACTTGACAGGGACCCCAGTGATAACAGCAGCACAACATTGTGCTGCCATTTTGATGGGATTGTTCTGTTGAGCTGAACAATGATCTTTGTTCTTAAAAACAGCCAGCAAAAACAGTTTGTGTGAGCTGTGCTGTAATGAGAAGTCTCCAGGAGCCCTCAGTGCAGGGGTTCTGCACCCAGCACCTCATCTGCTGTCGCTGAGAAAGGGAATTTAAGAGAAACCATGTTTTAAATCCAGAAAAAAAATGTTCCTGATGCCATCAGTTACATCATGTGTACAAGGACTAGGAATGTGAAATTTGGCCCAAAGATATTTTTATGAACCTCGCTCTGACTTGTGCTTTTTACTCATTTTCATTTGAGTGCAGGGTTTATCTTTGTGCCTCTTGTGTTTTGTTTGCACACACAGAGCGTTTGGCTGAGCCCACAGCTGTGTTTATTCCTAAATCCCCATCCAGTCTGTATGAACCCAGTCTGGCACCCAGCTTCCAGCTTCTCCTTGAGCTTTGTGCTTGACACCCATCACCTCTGACTGGCTTTGACCCACTGGGGTGGTGGATCAGAGTCTGGGGATCCCCACGGCTGCACTGCTGTGCCTGTGCTCAGTCCCAGCGAGACCAACAGGGCACTGATGGATCCCAGAGTCCTTCAAGGCCTTTCACAAAAGAATCCTGTGGAAACTAAGATTTGCTGCACTCAGAATCCTTTGTTTGGTAGAACAGGAAAGGAAGGACTCCTCTGAAGTTGACCCATTTGTGCTTCAGTGAATTTTTCATAAAATTGACAAAATCCTGTTTTAATCTATCCCACTCTACAACCTTCTGAGGGACTCTGTAGGTTTCTCTAAAATACCTCTGTGGTTATTGTTAATTAGAAAAAAATAATATTGCTGAAGGATCGCTTTTCAGTTGAACTTCCTGAACATATGGTTCAAACTGAAGCTGAAAAGGAAAACTTCAGGACAAACTGTATGAATTACTACTAATAATAAAATCAGACATTTTTTATAAGTCCACATTAATCTTCTTTAAAAGCTTTGGGTTAACCACATTTTTTAAATAAAACTTTTACCGGAGCGGAATTTATTAAGAGAGCTCAGTGTTGCCTTAGCTCTGTTCCATGGGGCATCAAGAGAAGTTTTATTACTGATTTCAGTCACAACAGTCTTAGATCTACACAGAATGGTTTTGATAAGCCCAATGTAAAAGTTTTATTGGTTTAAGACATGAAAAACAGACATGTTACAGAGACCACTTCTACTCTATAAACAGCCATAACATGGATAATGCATCGCACTGGAGTCAGTGCTCCGGAGTGTAAATAATGGTGTGGAGGGAAGGAAAGCCTGGCCAAGTATGTACAGCTAAGAAAAACAACATAGAGCCAGCTTGTACATGGTACTTCTCCTCTACAGATCTCAGAATTAAATACAAATAAAGTCTGTATCATTAGGTCATACTCACAGATGGAAAAGGGAAAATTAACCAGACCCGGGAAAGAGGGAAGTTGATGCTCTTTGTTGTTATGTCTATCTTTGTTCTTGAAACTATAACTACTGAGGCATTATTTGAAACAGGTTTTGAGGCCATGTGGTTGCTGTTTGTCTCGATGGGTTCTGTTCAAAGCCTCCTTTTCCTGTATGTTATAAAACAGTGTTAGAAAAACATGAAACAACCGGAAGTATTACATGGTGTCTCCCAGAGGTGTCCCTGGCTGTTGGGGATCCATTGATTTGTTGTGCTCCCAGAGGATGGGCATAGCAGCAGTGGTGACGTGGGGCTGTGCTCTGTTATCTTTATCCTAAAGATAGAAATGTGCTTTTATTGCACCAGATTAACAACACGGTCCCTTGTTCTCCTTTGTACTTAGATCTTTTTATAGCGTGGTGAAAAAAGTGTGAATGGCTTGTAAATATAACTTGCACTTGCTTCAAGGTGCCAAGCTCACACTGGCTGCAGTGGTGCAGAACATGGGCCTTAAAAATCCTGAAATCCCTTTATAAATGCAATTCTGGACATACTTCCCTGCACTATTCTGTGCTTCATCCTTGTATTCACTTGGAAAAACTATTTAAATGCTGTAATCCCAACCATATGGCTCAGAGCCTCAAAGAAGGCATTTAGCAGACACGTTTGTCTGGAGAATTAGGGTTTTACACAGATTATCCAGTGAGTGGAGATGGGATACCTCCTCTGGGGGAGGACAGGAGCCCACACCAGGGGCTGCCTCAACAGAAGGACCCTCTGAATCTGTTCTGTCCCTTTCCTGTTAAACAGATCCTGGGCTGGAATAAACAGGGAGCTTACGTTGGGATGAGATGTCTTTGAACAATTTTCCTCTGCAAGACCACACAGATTTACTTAAAAACAGTAAACAGATTCAAAAAACCTTTATGCATGACTGGAAACCAACTCACTGAATTGTTTAAAATGGAACTTCCACTACTTTTGTTTGTGTAAAAAGCTTTTACAGGACTGCAAACCAATGTAATTATGCCTAGATCACTGTTTTATTTTAGGCAAATGTTTCACATGGGAAGCAGGAATGGGGGACAGAACCAGACCTAAGCCTGCTGTGTCCTACTCCTGATTTTTACCCATAGAAATTAATTTTATGGGACAGCTGGATTTTTATGCTGCTGATTAAAAAGACAAGCTGTCTTCTCAGAAGTGAGTTCATGCTTGAAGATGAGACTTCATGTTTGTTACATCTCAAGCTTTCACACTTACAAATGTGATTATTGGACTGTTGATTTTTGTAATAGGTTGGGGGTTTTTTTGCATAGTTGAATACAAATAATATGATTTTCTAGTGCATTTTACCCATTCCACAAGTTTGTATTGTAATTTAACAGTATCCTCTGAGATCATCTATTACTTTTTGGCAGCCTAAGACTTCATGGGCATTTCAAAAGCGGCACCTTGTAGGTGTGAAAGCAATGAGCAAATAAAAATACAGTTACTGATTTTTCAGGGAATATAAAAATGGGATTTCTCCTGCTTCTAGTGACGGAACCTACATTAATTCCAGGGAGAAGGGCTTGATCCTGGTTCTTATACAGGCCTTGAGATTGCTGCCAGAAGAATGCCTTGCTTAGTAGCCTGTGTCAGCACTGCCTGCACTGTCGGTCCAGAACACTTCCCACAGAATAAATGCCCACAGCTGGTTTCTGCTGGGTGAGGGGCTCACTGGAGGCAGGTGAGGCAGCTGGAGTTGCTGTGGTTCCTGGGAGAGAAGTAGTGCAGAGTCTTCACTAAATTAGTAATTTGATTGACATATTCAGTTCATTAATAATAATTTACTGTGATTAGTAGAGAGTCACAGAAACTCAGTGTAGCTATCACACATAAACTAATTGTCACTGTTTCCCTCCTCCTCTGCAGTTGTGTCAGTCACTTAAATGTACTGAAATAAAGTCTGGCGTGTTCTCTGCCTTCCTGGGGTGCCAGAATGGGATTCTCTCTGTACCATAAGCTGAATGGAAAAAGAATCCAGGAAACCAGGTCTCTTGCCAGAGCCAGGTCTAAAACTATGAATTCACCAAATGAGTAATTTTAAATCAGCACTATTCATACCATTCTTTCCTCCTGTAATGAGGATCTGTAATAAGAGCAACTGGAGGTTTTAAACTGATGTGCCATAACTTCGATTCAATGATTTTCAAGGGCTTTTCCAGCCTTAACAATAGTGTATCTATAACTACTGGAAAAAATCTTGCTCCTTTACTGTGAAGTTATAAATTTATTTGTTTCCATCCTTAGCAGAAAAATGTCAGATGCCAAAGGCCTTTTCATTATTTTCAGATTTTCCTTTCCCTGCACTGATAAGATTCTCTCCTGCAGAGATAACAACTACACAATAGCCCAGCAAAGGATGGCTGGGTAGGAATAAGACACCACAGCGATGGTCAGATCCAAGTCCAGGACACTGAACTCCAGGCAAACAGATTTTATTTCACACAGTGGCACCTAAAATTCATCTGGCACATCCGATTCCTTTCTGACTTCCTGTTCAGGGCTGGGGGGCATTTGCAGATCTAGAGCATCCTTTCAGCTGGATAAGCAGTGATGGTTTCTGTCAGCTGCAGCCCAGAGCAGTTGTGTTTACAAACACTGCACACACACAGGCCCATTAGGCATCTACTCTTCTTGTGCACAGGAATAACACCCACATTTCTTTAGCTTTGTCTCCTACAACAAAGAGAACAAAATGTGTTTCTGGTTATGTGATAGATATGGAGTCAAGGGAAGCCCAGCATTCCCAGACTGTAACCAATGGAAATTCTGAAAGGCTCCCTCGCCCTTTGCAACCTCAACAAGTTGGAATCTCTTGTGTATTTTGTATTAGCTTGTCTTGTACAGTAATTAACTTATATATGACTCCTAGGGGACAAGTGATTATGGTTTATTTCCAGATGACTCATGAGCAAGTCTGCAGAAAGAGAGTTTGTGCTGCTCAGAAAACAGGAAAATGGAATATTTAGTGTTGCTGATGATACCAGTTCTGGCTACTGAGCTCAGGCACCAGGTAGAGGGGCTGGAAACTTGTCAGCTTGAGTGCAAGGGCCTGCTGAGACCCTGCAAATGCTCAAGCTCTGCTCCCAGAGCATTTGATTAGGACTAGGAATTACAGCAAAGATCCAGGCAGTGATCCTGCTTTGTGTGAATAATACGTGTGTGTGTAGGAAGAATAAAAATCATTCAATCATCATTCAAATCCAGGATTGTGACACATTTTTAATTTCCTTGTGATCTCTCACTGATTGAGTGAAGCAAGGTAGGAAACTCAATCAGCTCTTGCAGGATGCACAGGGGTGGCAGATCCAGAGGGAGCAAAACCAGGCAGTTCCTTACATACACAGTAAAGCCATGGACATTCTTATGGATGCTAGCTGTTCGAGTCCAGCAGGTCCCAAGGTAAGGTGGGCCTGGTTTCACCTGGTATGACATTCTTTCCTCCAATTGCATTAACAGAACATTTGGGAGCAAAAAGGGACTCAGGGTCACCTTCAGCTAACACATCAGCGGTTTAGTCTTGTCCTGAGTCGATCTGCTGGGAAAACCACGCCAGGTCTGTCATTTATTTGTAATAGATTATCTGCACATAATCAAATTTCTGATTTATTGGGTCCAAGCACTCCCAGTGATGCTGGAGTTGGCTCTAACCAGCATCAATGGCTATGAGGGGCCCGCCCAGCTGGGTCTGATAGAAGGAGAAGACAGATGATATCTGAGATTGCTGTAAGGCTGCCAGAATTAATTTACCCCTTCCAAAATCCTGAGCCGGCCTTTGAACATTTGAACTGTGATTGAATTAGAGATTGATTATGGCAGTCAGTGTTTGTGTCATGAGGCTTTGAGGTTTTGATGGCACTAAACAGTCCTAACAAAATAAAATATTTAGTGTGACTTTGCCTAAAATGACAAATATTTAGGGAGCTTCCTCTCATGCAGTAATTGTGTGTGTTATTTCAAACAGCACTATTAAAATTGTCATTCCTCCTAACATTTTAGGCTGGAAACTTTGGAAGTGCCCTTAGGAATGACTATTTCATAGTCTTATATTTGGATCTGGGTGCCGTTGGTGGTTCTAACCCGTATGTTGTTGTGAATCCTCAGCCAGAACTGAATGATAAAATATTTAGTCCAGTAGAAGTCAGTTTAATTCATTTTGAGGAAATGAAAGGAAAAAAGCCCAACCAAAACTAAACTCCAAATTCAGAAGCAAATTACTCTGAAAAACAGATCTAGAATTCAAAGATCCAGACAGAGCCTTAAAGTTTTTCAGGAATCAGATCCTTATGTTTCTATTCCTTTCTCGGCGCACAGCACAGGTGTTCACTGAGGTCACATTTCCACAGGTCAGATTTGCAAAGGAATTCTTCCTGTAGGAACCTCACCAGGGGCCAGGCTTTGAAACTGTGACAGTCAGATTTTTGAGAAAAAGGATCTTTTCAGATCTGGACACATCTTTTGGCTAAAAATGAAAGCTGTGCATTTCAGAAAATAATTCTAGTAGAACTCTGCAAAACCAAGCCCTTTGTACTAAACCTCAGCCAGCAGATTTGATACATTTTTAATTCTTGCCCACAAAAGGAAGGCATGAAGCACTGATCTGTTTGTTGGCTATGAAGCCAGAAGCTCCTGGGTATAAACCTTTATCTCTGTGACACAGCTCAGCTCACAACATCTTCCAGTTTTACCACAAGGAAATTTAGCTCTAAAGCATCAGTGGTGAGTCCGTTCTCATCAGCATCTTTGAGGAGAGGTATTAAAGTTTAAAAACCCTCAGCAGGTCGAGCGCTCACAAACATTTATGGGTTTTTCCAAGCACGTGGCATTGTTCAGTAAAGCAGCTTTGAGGTTTGAAGTTGTCAGGGAGGAGTGACAGGGGAGCAGCTGCTCCCAGTCTCAGTTACAAGGCCAGTTCAGATGACAAGGGAGGCCACACTGGACAGCTCATGCTTTGGCAATCCAGATCTAAACTAATCATAAGCAAATTAAAACCAGGACATTTTAGAAGGAAGAATTGGTTCATGTGGATTTTCCAAAAGTAATCTAATTATAAAACATCTAAATAAATACTTCAATTATTTATTCCTAACCAATCTAATGAACACTTCTTACAGTGGTCCAGGAGACTTACACGAGACTGAGTTTGCCATTCCTCTTTGCAAAAATGTTTGAGAGGAGCTGAGTCAGTGACACTGCTGGTGTGGAATAATTCAGCAAGGCCAGTTATGCCTCATTTGCCAATTAATAATTTAATTGCCCAATTTAGTTGCCTTTATTTGCCGATTATTCATTTAGCTGGCAAGGGACTCTCAGGTTTTATAAATAATGAAATGAAATTTAGTTTTTTTCCATCTGAAAATAATGCCCTCCCTTTCTAAATCTTCTCCCCTAAAAGACATTTAACATCATTGAAAAGGTACTTGAGCCAAATAAAAAAACTTGCATTCCTATTTTTAAATATTAACTTGAATCAAGGGCACACTGTAAGTATTTTGATCACCTGACAGCGTAGCAGCTTATCAGTGCTGTTGTGAAACATCTCTAAAACTTGCCAGACACTTGGGATACTTTGGAATTGCGTAACTGCAGACTTAGGTTGTGTAATATAAATTTGTCCACATCCTAAGTGAAGTGCAGAATTTAAGCAGAAGGTCTAACATGTTGAGGTAATTTTTAATGATGGGCATTTACATGCCATAGGGTATTTATTCTTTGTCCTGTTCTATGGTCCTTGAGAAAGGTTTGATTTATGTAAAGGTGTTCTTCAATTTAGTGCTGTAAAATTGATAAGGAAACGTGTTCAGGGCTTGGTTTTGTGCAGTGTTCACCATCCTGATCCTGATTCAACAAGGCACTGAAGCACAAGCCGAATATTCAGCCCTCAGGTAACACATAACCTCTTATGTGTCAGTAATATTGGAATAAAAATACGCTTAGAAATACTGCCCCTGGCATTCCTGCTGAAGCACTGATAAGCTAAACAAAGCATTTTTCAAAGCCTAATAACCGGATGGGATTTGTAGCATAAACAATTCTCCTTGTTAGTCACCAGTCCCCAGGGCATCTTCCTCACTTTGTTACAGATAAATTAGCAACAAATGAAATGCTGTGTGTGATTTCCTGCCCTGGGTATGCCTGTGTGCTCGCGTGCCAGTGTGAGAGCTGTCATTTATAATTTATCCAAGAATGTATTCACATCCACAGTGTGATTTAATTACTTATTAAAGGTGCCAGACTGGCAGATGCAGAAGCTGGAATAGTTTGGTTGTCCAGAGAACGTGGTATAGGCAGTGACATCCTCTCCAGGATGTTCAGTGCTTCACCCCAGGGGACTCCCCAGATCTACAAGCACAGCTCTTTCTCTCCAGCCTTTTCCCAGGTTCTCTGCACAAGGTGTTAAGTTCATAAAGGCTGCTAGCAGAGATGTCAGGCCTGTGGTTTTTAGACAGCATTGTTGATACTCTGGAAAATGGTTTGAACACATTAGGTCAGTCTGTTTTAGCTAGGCCACTCAAGCCTTGAGTTAGTACTAACAGAGGTGAAACCCCTTCTCAATAAATAATAGCAAAAGATATTATTTGTAAAGGTAGAAAGAGCCCAGAAGATTTCCTTCTGCTTGCCAGGGGCTGTGTGCTGTGGCTCTACTGCAGTCACTCGGGCCTTACCACAGACACACTTGTCTTGGAATCTGCAGACTTAATTCTGCACTGCTTGAAGAAACAGGATTTTGAGTTCATTTTTTATGTCATTCTAAGCGTATGCTCAGCTGTGCCTTTGAAAGCACAGGCACAGCTGGATGCAGGACAGCAGGGAATCTTCTCTCACTTCCATCAGCACACAGGCTTCAATGGGGAAACCGAGATTTTATTTGGCCTAACTCACTGAATTTGACCAGAGAAAGGCTGTTAAATAACAGCAAGGTTCCTTTCACATAGCTCCATAATATTTTGAGGAAGATAATGAACACAGGAAAATGCAAACTTCTGTGACTTTGTACATTAAAGCAGTCAATCCATGATTGCCCCAGACCAGCCATTCCTATGACCAAATGTTGCCTTCTGACATTTTGGTCTCAGTACATGCCTGAAAGTTGGAATCCTGGATAATTTTGTCTAAATTGTAGGTTGGGCTTTTCTGGTGCTTGATCTTTGGTTGGGTCTGTAAAGCACAACTGCAGTGCCAGGACCAGTGTTTGCTCTTAATGAGCTCCTTGTTTTGGCTCTGGAGTTTGAGCTGGCAAACACTGCTGTGCCTATTTTAGTTTGCACAGTTGAATAGTCCCATCAAAGCCAACAGGTCTGGACATGCCAACCACTGGCATTGCTGCATTATTAATTCCCAATTTTACACATCCAGTCTCTTGATGTACTCTACAAAAGCCTACCTAACCAAACCAGAGCCTGTGAGGTACAAAGACGGGGCTGAGAGGTGTGAAGGTGTGAAACCCTTCTGGCACTGTTCTGGAGCAGGGCCTTCGTGATGGCCTTTGACACAAACTGAGGGGGTTTTGACTGAGATGGGCTTTTGCATGACACACCCCCAGTGAGTCCCATCTGTGACTGAATTCCATCCTGGAATGTGACAGTGGGGGTTGCTGGATATGTAGGAGGCTTCACAGAGCTCAGCTCAGAACTACTGTGCCCCTGGTTCCTGTGCCTGAGCAAAATAGAGCAGCTGTTGGAGAGCAGCATGACAGCAAGGGAGAAATCTCTAAATGCAAACAGAAGGGACAGACAAGATTAGCCTTTATCTTAAAAAATTACCCAAGTGCAAAATGCAGTAACCAAAAATATAATTGCCACCTCACTGGCAGTCTGTCCAAGAGAGGCTTGACCCCTGCTGTGGGAGTTGGCTTTCCCTCTCTGGAATATGCCACAGCAGGAGAACCTTCAAACATGAAAGAGATTGTGTTCAAAATTCTGAGGCAAATTGCAGTCTATTTTCAAATAAAACAAGAAAAATGACATTGATATAGAAATGATGGGAAATCTGAACTCGGTTTTGACAGGCAGGTACACAATAACTTCTGTATTTAATATATAAATGTTGCGGTACCAGGACAGCTCACACTTCACACACCTGTAGCTCTCCTACTCTGTCACCTGTGGTTGGGTTTGAGACACTGTTGTGTTATTCAACAGCAAGTGGTGGCTGTGACATTTTCACCCAGTGTTTCTGTTTTTGAACACAGACTCTTCTTCCACTAAAGACTATTTCAATACTCCATTTAGAAACAGGTCTTTTAGTGCTTTTCACACGAACTTTCAGATGTTGAGAAAGGAATATTCTTTAATAACTTAGCTGTTAATTTTTCATTTAAAAATAATGATCACATTACTAACATTTTATTTGGTGAATCTTCTATGCTGGTAATAATGTTTCTGAATAATAAGATTGTGGTCAATCACTGGTATAATAGAGCACAGAGTTCTTAAAATTATTTTGTTTAGAGAGATTAGAGACATTACCAGAATTCGTTTCCCTAGTGGTACATACCAGTACCCTGGCACAGAATCAAAGGGGTTACTTCTTGGAAACTGAGTTTGTGATTTCCCTGATCTTGAAAAAAACACGTTCCTGATCTTACTTGTGGATTTATCCCTGATTGTGGTGAGTACTGGAGGTATTTGGTGCACCATATTAAGTGTGGGGATACTTTCAGGATCAGAATCTGTATGGCACAAAACTGGGACACAAACCCACCTGCCAAACTGGTGCCTTTGGAGTCACCTTTCCAGCACACCTGTGGGAACAGGATCTCAAAGGATTGCTGTGTTTCTGACCAGCAGATCTCTGCCACAGTTCATATCCCAGTGCTGCGTTTTTTGTCCTGGGCACAAACTGAAATTGTATCTGAGACATTTAATACATGTGCACTTACAGAGGGGCTGCTGCCATCACACTGCCAACAGTTCCATGATGTCAATTAACGTCAGCTGGATAATGTTGGAATTGCCAAAGCCCACTCTCACTTGTGACCTTGTTCACTAAAAAAAGGTAAGGGGTGCAGATATCAGTGAGAAAGTAAATGAAAAGGCAGAAATAAAACAGAGTAGATGGGAGATGAACGAACCTTAGGGAAACAACTGATGCAGTGCGAGCGGGGGAGGGAAGGGTGCAGTGCCAAACTGGGGTTTTGCTGAGCAGAAATGATGCTGTAGAGGGGTAAATATTTTATTCTGTTCAAGTTACCATTCTTAAAAGTTGCCAATTCTGAGATTTTTCCCTGAAATAGTTGAGGCAGATCATTCCTTAAGGAAGTTACCATTTCTCTCTTGCTGGGTGATGCATAAAGGTGCAATTACAAGATCTGGTCACAATCTCTTTTATAAATGTAGGTTGGTAGTTTTCTACCTCAGATCTGCTTTGTCTCCAGTATAGCTTTTAATGGAATTTAATGAGCTATCACAGATTTTGGTTCTGTGGCTGTATTTCCATATTTTCTGTTTCAGTTTATCAATACCTTCCTCACTGGCATATGATAAACCTTAACTATTATTTGGAAAAGCAGTTGTTCTATTTTTCTGAAGCTCCTATAGTAAACAATATTATTGTTCTGTGTGAAAGGTGTGCATGCATTTGTACTCTGTATATACACACTGTACCACATGGGCTGAGATAACTCTGTCTGGGAGTCTGCAACCAAGAAGCCCAGAAATTACTCCAGTCAAAACAAAATTAATGATAGGACTAGAAATGCCACCCCAAGCCTTGAGAGTTTTAATGAGATGACTGTTTCTTAGCAGCATTAAATCTGTGGGATAAGGAAATGTTCACTGAGTTAAGATGTGCTAAGAAAAGTGTAAAGAAGAGCATAAATGGCTTAGGAATTTCAGGAATCCCACTGGTTTAAACACTCTTTTATTTAAAGCAAATGTTCTCATAGTTGAATGACTTCCAAGAAGGGCCTCAAGTGATGAAAGTATTTCCATCTAATGTGAAAATACTTGAAAGATGCTTATTCCATGTGAAAATATTGCCACCTTTCAGAAAAGCCTGAATATGAGACTCCTTTAATGAAGATACTCTCACACAAGGTATTGATTTTCAGAACATACAAAATATCCAGAATTCCTACTATTTTGATAATAAATAGATTTTAATGACTTTCATCTCCCACAGCAGCCAGGGAAAATATTTCAGAGTACTTCACAAAACAGATACTTCAGTAATAGAGTGAAAAATTTCACATTCATCACCCTGACGTTGCTCCCTTTTCCCTCACGGCATGACTGACCTGGAAAGTACCACAGAGCATCTGCAGGGAAAAGCAATGGGCAAACAAAACCTGTAGAGATCAGCAAGGCACAAACAACTCTGGTCCACAGCAGTGGCTTTTTAATTCCTCTTTTAAGATTTTTAGATGTTCACTTTTGCTGAATAAACTCCATTTAATAGCTTCTAAATTTGCCACATTTAGAGAATAAATAGATGGTCACTGCTTTCTTCATGAAAGCAGAATAACTTCCCATACACAGCTTGATTCAAAAGTGGCAAGAAGGTGCCAGGGATTGTGACAGGGTGTGAAGGGATGCGTGGCCCAGCAGGTATCAGAGCAGTTTGTATTGTGCAATAATTCGTTGCACACATATTGGGAATTGGGTTCATTCTGGTTTCTGCATCTAAAAATTCAGAAGGGGATTCCTGGATTCTCCTAAAGCTTTTGCAAGATGCTCAGAAAGTGCAGACTTACAGAAATCAAATCAACTGAGCAACTAAATTCGATTGCAAAGCAGAGGTAGATTTTTTTATCTTGTTTTCTAAAGGCAAGAAATGTGCAAGTACATGACTAACCACCAAGGGTCAGTGTTCAGTGTTTTTACATTCTGACATCTTTGTTCCCAGGTGCTTGGAAAATCCCTTTTAGATTGAGTCCTGTAATCAGGATTTTCCAATCATATTTTTTAACTACCAGTGAGATGCATATGTGCCATACAAAGTATGGGAAAATTCAAGTGTCTGGATATGGGGCTTTTGTCAGCCAGCTATCAGCTGAGTATTGTTCATATTCCTGGATATAATTATACAAGTCCCATTGAAAAGAATAAAAAAACACCCTAGGAACTGGATTTTATTATTATGAATAACAATTAAGTTATTGTAGCAAATGCCATTATTCTGTTTTGTTAAGAAAGTTAAGACAGCCCTTACTGAGAGATTGTCAGGTGCTTTGTCAAGATGGCAAGGGATGCACTGTCAAGAGAGTGAACACATTTTAAATAAGTTCCTGTGGAGAGAAGTAATTTAACCTGACTTTAGAACATAGTAAGGGTGGATATCAGACATCAGGAGATTGAGCTCAGGCTGGCTGGCCTCTCCTGTTTCTGGGATGTGAATGTAGGTCATAATCCTTGATTGGCACAAACCCAGAACGTACTGACAGACATTCATATAAACTGCAGCTCATGAAGAAATCTCCAACCAGGCTTACAAAATAAACCCAACCCACCTTTACTCCACGTAAGGCACAGAGATCCCTTTGTTCCCCTTCTGCCCCACGGCTGAGCTCCAGGCACAGCTGCCCGGTGCTGGGGAGCTTCTGATGTGCCCCCGCTTAGCTGTGACTCAAAAGGTGTAAAAACTGGGCAGATTTCTGCGTGGAGCTGATTTTGTTTCTCTGCAGGCACAGCCAAACCCTGGCAGTGCTGACACCGCTGTGTCTGGGTGAGCACTCAGCCACCTGGAGCCCGTCTGAGCTGGATGCAGCAGCCGGGAGCACAGGGGGGAGCCGATCTCTGCTGACACAATCCCAGATTACCCGACCTGCACAGCCTGCCTTGTTTGTACACGGCTCTCAGCCTCACTCCTTGCCCTGGCCAGTCTGCATCACCCTTCCAGCACTGCCATCCCTTAGGAATAATCACTTCTGGATGCTGCTGAATGAGGATCAGCCCTCGGGAAAGGACATGAAATTACGGAAACTACAAAGTAAAGAGGGATAAAATAAAACCCAGTAATTTAAGAAGAGCAAAAATACTAAAAAAACTAAAATGAGCATGCTAAACAGTACAAATCCTGGCACAGAAATCTGGGGGATTTTACTGTAAAAACCTTTTATTCCTTATTCTATTTTTAATAAGGATTTATGTTAATCTTCCATGGCAACCAAATCTCTTTAAGAACCTTTGGTGAAGGAAACAGTAAGAGGGTTTCCAGAAATCCGAGTCCACTCTCAAGTCTTTACCAGTTATCCTTATCAGTTCTGGAGAACACTAGGAGGGGAAATAGTTATGTAAACACCATCATGTCATCACCACAATTTTAACCTCTGTGAGGCAAAGTAGAATCAGTAACACAAAATTAAAGTATATATCTAGAAGAACAGCCAAAAACCAGCAGATGCTGCCTGTAGCAGTTATTATTCAAGTTGTTTAGTCCCCTCTTATGCTGACCTAAACACTGATGTGTTTAATGCCATCCTGTATGCTTCTGTAACAAGAGGCAATATAGAAATGTTCATAAAATTGAATCAGCTAAGAAAAAAAATAATGGTTCAAATTTGTAAAAAAGGCTGGTGGAGGGAAAATTTAAGTAAGTTCTGGTGAAACAGTGAATAGACAGAATAAACACATCTCCTTAGTGTAAGGTACTGAGACTTTTCTCTGAAGTGTGTCTGAAGCAGAGTGCTATAGCAGACAGGATCCTGGCTCAGGCATCCACAAGTTCTGATCAAATAAGGCTAACCTCTTCCTAGGAAACAAATACAGTATTTTCTGGAACAAAAAAAGATCAAACAAAAAAGTACTCATACGTTTTAGCTATCATGTAGTGAACTAAGCAAGATGAAAAGCAGGGGGGGGGTTGATGTGCTGTGAGGGCTGGATGCAGAGCCTTGGCTGCGAGCCCTGGGCTGTGCCAGGGGCACGAAGGAGGAACAGCTCACAGCTCGCTGGCAGGTCAAGGCACAGGAGGCTGCTGGGCTTTGGGCAGGAACTCCGAGCCTGAAAAGAAGAAATGACAATATGAATGAAGAATAGGTAAAATTGCCCCAACCCTTCTCATCCTTTTGGAAGGAGGCACATTTCCCACCTCCAGAATGGTTAAAGCAGATGCTCCTCACCCCCATGCTTAGAGCGCTTGTAATCCTTCACCTCTCCGGATAACTGAATTGGTATTTTTACCTCATTTAACTTTTGGATTCTTTAAAATTTAACTATTTTTTAAGCAATGTTTTACCCTGCTCTGAGAGCAATATCTGTGGCAGGTACAGGTACACTGACCGACCTACACCTTAAGCACAGGTAATTCTGCACCACGTCAGCAGCTCTTCACCCGTGACCTCCACGGCCCGCCCGTGCCCGCGGCAGGGCTGACAGCCCGGGCGGGCTATGAAGAGGCAGCACCCGCCATGTTGGGACGGAGCGGCGCCTCCCGGGCCGTGCGGGGGGAACGCGGGGCCGCTCCCGGCCCAGGAGGTCACTCCGGGCGGGTGACACCATCGCTTTTCCTCCACGCGTCAGCCCGGGGCTGGTGACACGATCCCGACTCGCCCCCTCACGGAGCCGGCGCGGCCGTGAGGGCAACCCCCGCCTCCAACGGGTCTCACCGTGATTGGCGCGAGTGCACTCCTTCTCCGCTATGATTGGTCAAATGCGCTGTCACTCCCGGCCTATGCGGGCAGGGACGGGCGCTGAGTGGTCGGCGCTGGCGGCGGCCCCGCCCCCGCGGGGACGCGCGGGCGGAGCGGAGCCGCGGCCGGAGCCGCCGGAGCGGGGGCGGCCTGAGGGCGGGGGACGCGGCAGCCGCCGCCGCCATGGAGGCGAAACCGGCGGACCCGCTGCTGTGCGACAGCCTCATCCTCTGGGTGAGTGGCGCGGGGGTTCCGCCGCCTCTGGGGACCCTCGAGGGCAGCGAGGAGGCGCCAGCGGCGGGGGCTTTTCCCTCCATCCATCCATCCCTCCGTTCCTCCGGCCGCCCCTCCCTCCGTCCCCGCCCGGGAGCAGGAGCTGCGGGTGGGTCGGGCACGGCCGCGGCGGCGGGGCTGCCTGGGACACGCTGCTCACAGCCAGCAAAAGGCTCCCGCGGCGCCCTCCAGCTGTGCCGGTGGTGGCTGGAATATCCCGTGGGCCCAAGTGCGGCTCTCCAGCGGTGGCTTCACTGTGGAAACTGCTCGGCAATTAACACTATTAATAAATAAATGTAATTAATTTGAATTGACAGGCGTAGAAACCTCAGAGTTTTTCATGCCGGCTGGTTAAAGCGTTTATTAGTCAGGCACGCCACAGCTGGGTGTGTGATGTTACCTGTGCCAGAGGCACCTGTTTGGAACTGCGGAATTATTTAGGTCGGAAAAGACTTTTAAGGTCATCGAGTGCAAACATATTTGTCAAATTCATCAGTTACTCTTGCTTCCTCTTTATCTTTCTCTCCAAGCTTCTTCTGTGACCTTGTCTGTAACTCTGGTTTTGCAGGTGCAGTAATTTCAGTGACAGGGAGCTCTGTGAAATAGAACTTCTGTATGAAATCTTGGCAGGGAAGGTCACAATTGCCTGTGTGAAGGGTTTCTCTAGAAATAGCAGGAGTGTTGCTTCTGTGAAGTGTAAGTCGTGGAGAGAAGAGAGTGTTTTAGAGGCATTGTAGAAATCCAGGAATGAAACTGGTAAAAGTAACAGGAACAGCAGCCTGAGTAAGGTGTTCTTGATTTCTGCATGGCAGTACAGAAGTGTTAATGAGTTAAAGTCTGTAATAAGTCACTGATAAGCAATTTCTTTCTTTCTTTTTCCTCCTTCCATTTTCCTTTTAGTGACGTTGTATTCTCTCAAGGTTTTGTTGCTGTCTAAAATTTTGGTTGCCTTATGTTGGTTATCTTTTGTTGTTTAATCTTTCTCTTTTTTTTTGGGCTCTTCAACTTTGTATTTTCTCCTCAGTCAGGTGAGAATAACTCCATCGTGATTCAATGGCAAAAAAAAAAATCTCTGCATTCCTAAACTCTTTCACAACAATCGTGTCAGCAGTGCTGAACTCGTTTATGTTTCACAATTCGTGCTTTAAATATTTCTATCCTAATTGTAATTTTTGTTATGCTCACAATGCAATAGCTGTAATCACATAATGAATCTTAATAGAACCTTAACTGGCCTTAAACTGGGAAATTGTGTCTGTGAAAAGGAAGACCCAACCCTGTGTTGGGTTTTCTATACAGCACTCAGCAGATGCATGTTTTTAGATTTAGCACCCTAGTTCTCAGGCCTAGTTTGCAACTTAGGAACTGATTCTTAACACTTGGATGTGTTTGAAACATCCTCTCACAATTTGAACTTCAGTGTGAATAATAGGGAGAAAAGTGATGTGAGGAGAGCGGGATGAAGTGCTCTGTGTTTAGAGAGAAAAGGGTTCTGTAACTCTCTGCTTCTGGTGGTTTCTCTGTTTATTTACTCATTAATATAACAAACAGATGCTTATGATTCTCTGTATTTTGCTTCCAGATCTGGCATTTTCCTATTTTTATTTTACCAAATGCAATATTAGAAAACATGCTGTGTCCAGAGAAGAAAGATAAGATTCAAATAAAAATGTTACCTGTTGTTTCTGCAGCCCAGGTGTCATTGAATTTAAAGTTCTGAGGATTTTACAGGAAAAACATAAAGCAGCTAAACTAAATTATAGGGGTAATGTTTATGAGTATCCATGAAAAATTGGCTTAGGTAATATCTGCTACGGTGGAACTCAAAAGCTGCAGCAGAAACAAGTTTCTGAGTTAGGTATTTTTCCTCTGTGTAGAGGAAAAGTTAACTGGATGTTTTTCAGTCCTGTACTGCCTTAGCTTCCAAACCAGGGACTGGAAGTGTGGCAACATCTTAAATTGGAAGCATTTTCCACTATAAATGCACTGCTTGACACTGGCACCACTGGTAATTTCATTCTGTGCAGTGGCTGACTTATTCTATTAATATACTTGGTTTCAGCATGGGAATGTTTATTTTTATTTTAAAATCTCTTTGCTTACTCTGTAAAACCTCTGTCCCTCGTGTGTATAATCGTGTGTATAAACTCAACCTCATTGTCAGGGGAAACTGAGGGCACACCTTCTCAGGTGGATCGGCTGATTTCTGCTGGGCACTCTCTACACTCATGTTTCATCTGCAAATGTTTGGTGGTAGAGGTACAAAATTACCTTTTCAGCTGTATTTTGGGAGCATAACAGCTCTGTGTCTGAGAGAAGAACTTCTGCTGTAGCAGCAAGTGGCAGAGTGCATTTGGGGTGGAATTCACAAAATGGCTTTCAGTGTGAGTAGCAGCATATCCTTGGATATGCTTGGAGCTGTATTTAGTAAAACTGAAAAAATGAGGGAAGAAAGAGCACTGCTACAGTCCTGAAGTCTGTGGCTTCTTTTTCCAGCCTTCTCCCCACACCTGCCACTTTTATTGGTTTTGCAAGAACGGTAAAAATCCATTTTGATGAAATGATTGGGCTGGCATGAGGTTTGGAGAACCCATAATTAATACTTCTACTCTCTTATTATTTCTAGGTCCTTATGTGACTTTTAAATACATAGAGAAGCCTAGACTGTCAGTTCTGCTTTCTACTTAATTTTAATTAGCTGTTTCTATTCTGGGAGATCGTGCATAAAGCAGTGTTGCATGTCAGGGTTTTCTAAGGCCTTGTTTATCTGCTCTAACAGGCTCAGGTGAAAGGGTTGCACCTGTACATAGCAATTTTCTTCTTTTATGAGGGGCATATCCAAATGGCAGCGTCACAACATTGTGCCATAAAACTCTGGATTTGGGAAGCCCAGCCTGAAATGTAAACTTGCGTGCCTGTGCTTGTGCTGAGGCTGCTGGAGTGGTAGAAGTCAGTGCTGTCAGGCATAGCAGCTTTGGGCTGTGGTGTTCCACTTAATCTTTTATGTAACCTACGAGGGATTACTGACTTCTCACTTCCTGTAAGACAGGATTTAAACCCACTTTTTGAAGGAAAAAAAATCCCCTTGCTCTGCCTATTTTTCTCTTGGCTTGATTGGACTCTTCTTGAAGGAAGCAAACAAGTATTCAGAATTATGGTCACTCTTTATAAACACAGAATGGAGAAAAACTGCCTCAGATTCTCACAGCTGAAAGCTGCTTTTTCATCACTCTGGTCCCAGTAGCTCCATTTCCCAAACACAAGGTCATTTTTTACCAGGAGTTCTGAAGAAGCTTGTGTTGCACAGGATGTTTGGGAAAGCCCTCTTGCAGAGGGACAGGTAATTTATGATACTGTAAATGCACTAAATTTAAGAAGTCAGTTCGTGCAGTGAATGGGGTTTATAAGGATTTGTACTTGCTCCCATTCTATTCTGTCTTTTAATAGTACTAATAATAAACTTTGTTTTGTTTATTGTAGTAAAGAAGGCTCTTATTTTCCTGAGTAACTGAGATGAACTGACCTGTGTATGGAAATGGCTCTCTCATCTAGAATAATTAGTTCTGAGTTGATTGTTTGTGGAGGAGTAAAATATTGCTATTCTAAATCTATAGTTAATTCTGTCAAAATGTTAGCTATAAGCTTGGGGATAGTTTGAAAAAAAAAATCACACAATATTTAAAACAGAGAAACATTTTAACATTGAGGTAATCCCATCCTATTTCTGTTACTAAGTTATTGCAGTAAAAGACTGGATTTCTTTTTCCCTATCAACTTTCACACCTTATTCTGATGCTGTTTTTTGTTTAGGTAGTTATGTCCAGAACTAAGCACTGTAACATAATAATAAAGGCTGGATAAATATGACTTTAGTCTCCCAAGTTATCTTTCCATAATCTGCTTTAAGATAGAAGGCCTAGGGTGAAAAAACAGAGTGTGGGTGTTCCTACCAACTTCTAAAGCTACCAGTCATAACAGTCACAAGTGTTGAGAAAATTCACTGGGCTTAAAGTCTGTGTGGTTCAAAAAGGATTTCAAGTAGAAAGACATCTTGCTAAATGCCTGAAAGGGGAGAAGGAAGATGGCAGCTAATTTATTGTCTACTGAACTAAACCCATGTTTTTCCCTCTTTTAGCTGCAGACATTCAATACAGCTGCACCCTGCAGGGATGTCCAGGACTTGACTAACGGGGTTGCCATGGCTCAGGTGCTTCACCAAATGTAAGTTGATTCTTCAGCTGGAAGAAGAGGGATTCAATTGCCTGAGGTTTTTGTGTTTGACAGACACAGTTGCTTTTAAAGTAGGCAGAAATTCAGAGTGGACAGTTTGTAACAGAAGATAGGTCATGCCTTCATATTGCTGTTTTGGGGATGATATAATAGCTGATTAATGACGTGGTGGAAAAGGTGGTGAGAAGATACACAAATACTGCAGTATTAAATTCATACTTGGGGATAATTGGGCAAGGATGACATTATCTTCTTCACTTTGCCCATCAGCACTATTTCTGTGCTTCAGGCAATGTGTTCCTTTTTGGAATGAGAAACTAAAGATTCCAGAGGCATGGAAAAAAAAGTGTTTTCTTTTCTTCCTGAGGTTGCTCAATTAATTTAGATTTAAGTTCTAGGTTTTAAATGACAACTTACTAGTCGTGTGGAAGACAAGAATTGTAGAACTTCAGTTG